ACTCTTGCCGTTGGAAATGCAGTGTGCTCATTCATGACATTCCTCCATTGGAACCCTGTGCGTATATGCCTGGGGCAAGGGGGTTTTCACCTTGGACACACTGGCCCCTAGGGGGGTTAAAAAATTTTTTTTAAAAATCCCTTATTCCGTTTTTTTAACTTTGGACAATAGGTGAATGTATGTTCACTGGGTTTAGCTACACGCTATTTTGTTTCTTCTTTTATTGGTAGTCTGGCTACTGTATGTGTCGCATGCTGGGCTCTTATCACCCGTGTTTCAGGTATGGGAGCTTTATTCATTGGTGTCTTTCTATCCAAGCCTTTTAGGTTCCATTTTTCTTTTCCCCTTTCTCTAAGGATTTGATAGTTCTCTGGTGCGGTCTTGTTTGGCAGTAGAAATAACATAAGGGTTACTACTAAATTAGGGATTCAAAGAGACTTCAAATTTTTAAAGTGAATTTTAAATGCAAGGCTAGAGCAGCCAAACTGAAAGCACAGCTGATTTTTTTCCGGTTTTCACTTTAATTTAAAATTCACGTTGCCTATTCAATTTAGTGAATAACCCTGTAAGTCTTTACTCGTATATGATCTCTGGGTTATACCTACGTTAAGGACACAATTCTAATTCTTTATATTCGTGAAATGTAGTAGCGCTGCATAGAACACTTCGTGGTCTGTTTACGTTTATTCATGTCTATAAGGTCATGCTGAAGTCACGCAGCCATTTCTCATTTCATTAAAGGACCACTCTAGGCACCCAGACCACTTCAGCTTAATGAAGTGGTCTGGGTGCCAGGTCCAGCTAGGGTTAACCCATTTTTTAATAAACATAGCAGTTTCAGAGAAACTGCTATGTTTAATAATGGGTTAAGCCTTCCCCCTAATCCTCTAGTGGCTGTCTCATTGACAGCCACTAGAGGCGCTTGCGTGCTTCTCACTGTGATTTTCACAGTGAGAGCACGCCAGCGTCCATAGGAAAGCATTGTAAATGCTTTCCTATGTGACTGGCTAAATGCGCGCGCAGCTCTTGCCGCGCGTGTGCATTCAGCCGATGGGGCGGATCGGAGGAGGATCAGAGGAGGAGAGCTCTCCGCCCAGCGCTTGAAAAAGGTAAGTTTAAACCCCTTTCCAGAGCCGGGCGGGTGGGGGCACCCTCAGGGCACTATAGTGCCAGGAAAACGTGTATGTTTTCCTGGCAGTATAGTGGTCCTTTAAGGCTATATACACTCAGTATTCTGCACACGCCAAGTGTCTTGATAAAAGTCCCGTTAGTAGAATGAAACGTTGACAATAACTACTGTACCTTTTAGTAAATTAAAGAAACTTTGATTTTACACAATTCCTCAGTGTGCACCCGGTCTTGGATCATATTTAGCAGCCCTAAGGACAGCATGGAGGTGGTATGCATAATACCTGACTTAGGCAAATATAATGCGGGTTAAGTTATATTATATGACCATACATTACATGGGCCTGACACAACATCAATGTACCCCTTTCTTGGCAGGTCCTACACTAGCAGCCTAATGCCTGCGCTTATGATATTAATCCACTTACTTGGGAAATACTTCCTGTGGCTCAAGGTTAAATAGGTCCATAAGAGAGGCACCAGTGACAGTGAGGGATGCAAAACTGGGGAGTACATACACACAGTGTGAGTGTATGTAAAGATACATATCACTATTATGATAGAGATATATATATATATATATATATATATATATATATATATATATATATATATATATATATATATATATATATATATATATATATATATATATTTTTATTTTTTTTTCTATTATAAACACACACATATCTATATCACAAAAGATAGACAATAGCAGCCTGGTTAAACACTTACTAAATATCATCATGGGTAAATTGAATTTTGTAATTCTGTCTTGTTTTATGAAACAACATTATGTGGTGATAATCTAGGTCGGGGGTTCTTCTTTACACAAGGAGCTGTTACTCTAGGATGACATTCATTTAGGCTGTATTTAAAAGGTAATTAAGCCCTTTTGTTTTTTCACTTGTAAATGATTGATGGCATTGCTGGCATATAAAAACCAAACAATAACAATGAACACAGAAACCAATTCAATGTTAATTTTAGTCAGAAGCCTAGGATTCCTAATTGTGAGCGTATTTTAGCAATTCTAATTCTGCTCCTATAATAATTATTGCTACTTAACTCTTTCACTAAGGATTCTTTAACAAAGCAGCATTGTAATTGTTGAAAGTGCGGGATCGACCGCTTGAATTTTATTATGTATTTGTTCATACACTACAGAAATCTTAGGGCGATAAAAAGTCATTATACGGTACCGTACCGCTCATCTTTAGACAGAAGTTTGTTTTCTTTTCAAGTTCTACAAATGGTGACAAGGGTGCACTGGTGGCAGCATATAGAGAACAAAGATACGTGAACGAAACACCCCAAAAACCATAACCACTACAACTCGTTATTGTGCAAGGCGTGCCCCGATGCCATTGTAAGTAATCAAGCTGTTTTAGAATGATTGGACTTTGAACTTGGGGGTCCTCTGCTGCCACTAATTTTGATGGAGAACTGGAATCTCCTAAGCAGGAGCTTAGGTTATCTCTCCTGAGCTCAGCAACGCAGGGCTAGTTAATTGTCTGAGAGCATCAGCTGACTGCCATTAGACAGAGCTAAGCTTGTCACTGTTGGGCTCTTTTAGAAGTAGTGAAGGTGGGAAGCACACCCAACAGACCTTAGGTAAAAAGGCACACTGTTAAAATGAATGGTTTAAGCACTTACAATGAAGGTGGAGCCAGGTTACTCCCGGCCCCATAACCAATGCAGTGCATTGTAGTACCCATATTATCTACAGACATCTGTACTACACAGTACAATTGCATTCTGTAAAGAGCCCTGCAGTGTCTCTTTCTTCTCATGTTGGCTATGAGAATCCAGCTCTAAAGAAACACCCCAGGCACCAGAATCACTACAGCTTGCAGCATTGGTGTACGGCATCTCGCTCTGCATGGAGACACTGAATTTCCCTCATAGAGATACATTGAGCCAATGCATCTCTATGAGGCGGTGCTGATTGGCTGACCACCGCGATTGCCTTGCATGCGCACTACCCCCCATATCTCCCCCATTTACAAACATTGGATTTGCTGAGAGCACCAGTATTGGGGGATCCCATCTAGTGGAGGATTGGCAGCAGCCCCCATGGTTGCCCAATTAAAAACAGGGAGAGTGAACAGAGAGACATCTGAAACAAGACAAATATTTCTAGAAAAAAATTCATTCCTGTTCTGGAGTTCTCAAAGGGCACTTAAAATAAAATCATATATTGATATTATTCAGTTATACATTTGGATGTATTCATTATTTCTCAGAATATCTTTTTATAAGTGGCCATTCTGGTATAATTTCTATTTTGTGCACAATTTATTGCAAGTATGTGTTTTCCATTTTTAGTGCTGTTGGACCTATGTCACATTGTTTTACCACAATCCATATTTTCCATATCTGTCAAATAAAATAAACTTTGAATCTTTTTTACTTTTTAGTGCAGACATACAGTGCTTTCCCCCCCACTTATTTAAAGGGACCCTGTGTTGATACTTTTATAGTACTCCTAATTCCATCTGCATTGCAAGGGTAACTAACTAGCAGCAAATATGTAGTTTAGTAACTGTACAGCCTCTGGTCTCTGAATTCCAATTACATACAACAACAGCCATGGGAATGGGTGCTATGTACATCCAAGCACCCACATGGTGTACACAATGTATAAATGTAATTTATGTACCTATACCTGAAACTAACATTGACATCCACTTGCTTTGTAAATGACAGAGTCCATTTAAATTGTAGCTTTCTTTCATGTCTGAATCACACAGTGAATTAACTAAGAATGACCATCTATCACCATAACAATGCCACAGTTTACTGTACCTGTTAGCATTCATTGATCAGTATGTCATTAGGAAATATGTGATATCCAACTCACTGCCTCCTTTACATAATGGTTAAAGTAAAATGACAAAACTATATAGGAAAACATCCATCCAAAAGCCAAATTAATAAATACATGAAATTAATTAACAGACTATATGTAAAAGCTATAAAGAGTGGCCTTTAGAAAAATATTTTAATAAAACAAATGGATCTAAGACAAAGTGTGTCATCATAGCATTGGCAATACAGAATAGTAATATTTAAACAATATATACACACACACACATACATACACACACACACACACACACACACACACACACAGTTTATGTTATGGGTAAGTATTGTATTAAAACTTGCTACAAGAATTACGAATGTTACATTTCTGTTTTCAAGCAGTAGCATAGGAAGAAGTGACTGGTACCTAGAAGTACATAAACTCTAATTTACTTTGAATTCCCACCATTTACCCTTTATTAAATAATCCTAAAACTCTTTTATAAAGTGAATGTAGCTCTGAAAAAGGGAGTATAGTTGTCGTTCTAAATCCTAGACTGTAAGCTTGTTTGAGCAGGGTCCTTATCTACCTATTGTTTGTGAACCATGTTGTAATTGTCTCATTTATTTAATGTCTCCATGTTATAAAATTGAAAGCGCTGAGGAATAAGGGAGTGCTAAATAAATACCAATTATAATACTAATAAAAAACAAGTAGAGGTTTAAATCTTATGGTATGCTCATGTTTTTTCGTCTTTTTTTTTTTTTTTGTAACAACACTAAAAATGTCATTAATCAATACAATAAATGGCATCAAAAAAAGACAGCAAGTCTCAATATAGTTTTGCATATTGATCACAGTATATGGATGGGCTCCTAAAACTGAAACAAGAGAGTTTATGACAGTGACACCAAGAGACCCAGAACAATATATCGGGTCAATCAGAAAATACCAGGAAATGTTTGAGTTTTCTTGTTCAATTGTCCAAAGTAGTTTGTGAGCTTGAAACCAGATTAAAGATAACACTGAACTATCTTAGATCCAGGTTCCCCAAACTCCGGCCCTCCAGATGTTGCTGAACTACAACTCCCATGATTCTCAGCCTATTTAATGCATAGAATCATGGGAGTTGTAGTTCAGCAACATCTGGAGCGCCGGAGTTTATGGAAGACTCGTGGGCAGGGTCCTCTACCTTTTGTATTGGTCTGTTTATACTGTATTGTTTTTTCCCCCAGTTGTACAGCACTGCAGAATATCTTGGCACTTCATGCATTACAGTAATAATAACAGACACTGGAGTTGAAGACCAAGGATAAGGGAAGGAAATAGCAAGGACCAACACACACAGATATTAGGATCAATGCCTTTTGGGAGAGTTTTTTCACAGATATCCTGCACCCTCTAGTCTACAATCCAGAGAAGGCATTGGTACAAAGTACACATGACCCCTGCCTATTATACATGCGCATGGTCATCAATGTAAGGAAAAGAAGACACACTCTTATATACAGACCTAGGTGATCCAGACCTGGAGCTGGAAAACCCAGTACAGTCATTGAAGAAATAAATATACTCTAGGCCCTCCAGACCTATCTTCAAGCAGTTTTATTGGAACAAGTTTCGCCTACACATAGGCCTTTGTCAAGCTGTGACTATATTTTAATCAGAGACTCATGAATCCACACTTTGTGGATATCATTACAGACTTGTAGAGCAGTTGTGGCCAAATTGAGAGTTAGCAGAGCATTATGGGGCCTGCAGTTCTAAAGCAGCTGGAGATCTGCTCTTGGTCACCTCTGCTGTGAAGTTCTAATAAAATGGAGACACTTTCAAACCGTGTCCAACAGAAAAAAAAAAAATCCCCTATGAATAAATACATTATACATTCATACATAAATTAAGCAAGCCTGCTTAGCCATGCTATTAGGATTGTCTGAATTTAATTCAATGTAAAATACAGAATATTAGGGCTGATTTAAAAGGTCACATTTACATCTCAGGAGAGGTTACTCCGGTACCCCCAATAAATCTAGATTTTACTTGTAGACCGCAAAGAAGCATGCCTCCTTCCCCTCCGTAAATAAAATAAAAATGCAAACACCATGTAGAAAAATGAACATAGATCAAATATAAATTTACCAAAATAGATCTAAAATTATGTTAAAAAGCACATTTGCATAGCTGCATTTTCAGCTGGCATGTCTGCCCAGATTAAATATGTAAGTAAATGAATACTAGAAACTGCATCAAGCAAAAATTCAGTTTAAATCCACTTCAAAAACAAATTTAAATAGAATACACAAATTTAGCAATTTCTTTGTAAAAAGACCTTAAAAGGTTATTTTACTATAGTGAGAATGATGATGAATTGAAAGTGAAGTTCAGATTACAGCCCATTGTGGCTGTAGTGGAAGTATAACTGACTAAGAGCCTTTCTCCGGTTCAGCTACTTTAGACCTGAATTTAAAATTCACTTTGGATTCCCCAGAGTTCTCAGTTTAGTGAATAAACCAGTTTTAACGCTCTGGGTTTAGCCCACCTCCCACAGGTGGTCCATTAATACTGTTCAATATAAACTACAACAAATGGTCACTATATATTTATAAAGGAGGGAAGACAATTTCTCTGTAAGTAAATAAGTATAAAGTCATAATGTATAATTAATTAAATTATAAGAGTATAAATGAGTTTAGTGGTGGACTTCTAATTAAATGCTTAATCCCCTTTACTTCTGCCACTGACATGTTTGGATAATGGGGAGGTAAACATTGTGGCACTTTATAAAATTAATAATTAATATCCTGTATTTATGAATGTCTAAAGCAAATTTTAACAAATAATAGAAGCTTTAATTAGAATAGCAGTGATTCACTGATTCTCTACTGAATAGTTTACCTCTTGCGGAGTGGGTAATTTACAAGAATATACACACACACACCATAGCACAGGGAGATCTGTATAGGCTTATAATAAACTAGAAGATCCTTCATTCATTCCTACCTGTATCAGGTCTACCAGATTATTCTGTATGTGAGTCCTTCTTCATATTGCTGTTAATCTAAACTAGCTGCCTTGATTAACTGGTTGATTTCCTCCTAAAGCATATGTAGTCTTTATATCATCAGGCAACACTTTTCACGCAGTGCCCACCTATCAGCAAGGATGTGAGGAAATTGTCAAGAAAAAAAAAATGTTGGGAAGCAGTCCAACTGCCTGCTTCACAACAAATCACAGCAACTACCAAATTCAGATGAACGTGAACACTACATATAACTACTTGAAAACACACATACCACCCCTCCCCCCCCTCATTTAATCAGCTTTATTAGAAATAGCCCCATTGCCCTGTGACATTTTTAATAACCTTATTTTAAAGAGAGTATCTGAGACTTATATTGATTTTAATTGATAATTTTATGCTATAAATGTATTGGTCTAACCCCTTGCCGTGAAGGAGTTAATGTTCTGATTTATAGAATTTAATAGCAGGTGGACTTTTAAGAGAGAGCTATTGATTCAGTTTAGCCATCTTGGACCTCAGGCATACTATCAATGCTGCAGACTAAATGAGGTTTGGGTGGTCTAGTTTATAAATGATGGGAATATGCAGTGCTAATTCAGAATTTGTTAGAAGGAATGATGAAATGTCCCATACTAACTCTTTAGGTACAGTATATGGTGACTATGGTTTGTGTCCCTCACTGAGTCTGTCCCAGAATAACTCCCTAGAGGGACTCTCTATGGGTGGGTTATCATCAAAGCTTCCGCCATAATTGAATCTTAAACACAGATCAGAGGGCTCACATTCACATCTCATCGGGATCCTGTTGAGATGTTAAACAACTCATTAAGCACTGTAGATTATCCAGTATGGTAAACCAAAGCTCTACGATGAAAGGAAGACGTGTGGAAAATCAAGTGTCAATTAGCAAGTCTATTTGGCTTTCAAAGTGGCATCTTGTTATCAGCGATTAGTAAAGAAATCTTGGCTAAATGTCCAACTGTCTGCTCAACTACACAACCTCTCCACTTATTAAAGGGACCACACAACCCTTCAACTACACAACCTCTCCACTTATTAAAGGGACCGCGCAGCCCTTCAACTATACAACCTCTCCACTTATTAAAGGGACCGCGCAGCCCTTCAACTGCACAACCTCTCCACTTATTAAAGGGACCGCGCAGCCCTTCAACTGCACAACCTCTCCACTTATTAAAGGGACCGCGCAGCCCTTCAACTGCACAACCTCTCCACTTATTAAAGGGACCGCGCAGCCCTTCAACTGCACAACCTCTCCACTTATTAAAGGGACCGCGCAGCCCTTCAACTGCACAACCTCTCCACTTATTAAAGGGACCGCGCAGCCCTTCAACTGCACAACCTCTCCACTTATTAAAGGGACCGCGCAGCCCTTCAACTGCACAACCTCTCCACTTATTAAAGGGACCGCGCAGCCCTTCAACTACACAACCTCTCCACTTATTAAAGGGACCGCGCAGCCCTTCAACTACACAACCTCTCCACTTATTAAAGGGACCGCGCAGCCCTTCAACTGCACAACCTCTCCACTTATTAAAGGGACCGCGCAGCCCTTCAACTGCACAACCTCTCCACTTATTAAAGGGACCGCGCAGCCCTTAAACTACACAACCTCTCCACTTATTAAAGGGACCGCGCAGCCCTTCAACTACACAACCTCTCCACTTATTAAAGGGACCGCGCAGCCCTTCAACTACACAACCTCTCCACTTATTAAAGGGACCGCGCAGCCCTTCAACTACACAACCTCTCCACTTATTAAAGGGATCGCGCAGCCCTTCAACTACACAACCTCTCCACTTATTAAAAAAGGGGGGGTGGCGGGGTACTGCCTTTCTTGTTTACTAATATCCATAAAGGGAAAAACACTCATTGTGAAATACTATAAAGTGTTAATAGACTAAACAGTAAATATTTATATGATACGAATATTTAAAAGAATATTGTTGTCTTTCATTGCAAGTTACTACAAGAGACATATTGCAGTGTTTGTTGGGGAGGAAAATAAAATTCTAGGATTATGTTCTAAAATGGAATCTCCAAAAAATACATGTTATTTCTTATTGTTCTGAACGTTCTACTTTTAGAACGCTGAATTGTTTTACATTCAATAATTTAACTCTCTGGAATTTCTAGATCAGAATTTCTAGACAAGATCTTGATTTAATCAGATGAATGAGATGTGAGCATCGTATCAAAGCTATCTGGATCTGATAAAGCGTTTAATGCAATTTCTTGTCCCACCAAGACAGTCTCCCCTTGTATATACACAGGGAAGATTATGACCCCTCCACCGTCTGTTACATACAGTTTGTATAGGTGCTAAATACTTTGGCAATTCTCTCCTAATGTCTTTGATGTACATGTTAAGTAAAGGAAGTGGTTCTGTCTCTCTCCTCTGCCTATAGTGCAAAATGCTGGCGCCAGTGTCCTGGGGAGAGGGGTAGGGCTATTAAGAGGGTCGTTTGCATAAAGAAGTAGTAGGTGTAGGTGATAATGTATTGTGAAGGCAACACCTGACAGCGTGCAATAATCTGTTTAGTAAATAGAACGTCAAATGTCCTATGATGGGACTTCACATTTATTATAGTAGCATGCAGTCCAGATATTTTTTTTTTATATGAAACATTGTAGGAGAAGAAAAGTGGGTCCCCAGTTTGGTATTTAAAGGGTTAAGCCACCCTGCCTGGCCTTGTAAACACACACACTATCAGTGCTGGGAAACAAAAGGCCAAGGGTCACTGGCGATTTGGGATAGAATAGGGGAGTTCAAAAGACTCATTTGTAAGGTCTGGAGTAAAAGTGGGTTTGAATGCCCCCTGAGGCTATTTAATAATGATCACATTATATCAAGCACTCGTGTTATCTGTGGACTACAGCTCCCATCACTCTCAAGTGGACATAAACCTGTGGAGAGTGCTGGGAATTGTAGTCCAGTAAGCACTAGCGCTATAGAGAACCTGGTTAATATATGTGGGATGAGGGGCTTACTGCAAATGCTATCCTGCCCAATGATAAAGTTAGTTGAGTCTTGCAATATACGGTTTGAAGTCCAGGGGTTAATAATATACTCATGCAATATGTAGTACATAGAATCCTGCAACGCGATATACTCTATACAGAGTTTGGCCAATCTGTGTTATTGGTATACAGCTATACATTGTATAATATCCTGTCCTGTATTGAGCTCACATAAGCAGTAACTAATCTACTGCCCTGTATAAATACAGCATTGTACATTGCTTGGCTATACTCAGGACACAATTCTATATTATATGGCTATCCTGAGGCCATACAATAATCATTATGCCATGTAATATGCAATATATATATAGCCCACTAGAGAGCTCATAGTGACTGGTGCTATAATGTTAGGTCCACATTACATAAATTCATCAAGTATCTGCATTGAGACAGGGATATTCTGAGTTATCAAGTCATCTGCATTCATCAAACCTTTAAAATGTATTAAATACCTAATGTTACTGTATGTATACTATGCATTTGGTCCATCAATCTTTGTCTTTTGAATGCACCATTTAGTTAATCCCCCCCCCCCTAAAAAAAAATCTGAATATAGCCTGGAACATTACTAATTAGATGGACCATCTGATTCCATGTATTAATCTGACAGAGCTGGTTACATTTTGGCAGGACAGATATGTGTCAGTGGCTGAGGATCATGGGGGTAGTTGGCATTTACTAAAGTGAGGATTTAAAGTGGAATTCAAATGTAACATTAAAATGGCTGGGCTGGGCTGGAAAACCTCTCCAAGTCAGTTTAAATATTATAAATGATGGCCATAAATTTGCAAAGCACATTGAATTGACTTGGAATTCTCAGTCTAGTAAATAACTCCTGTGTTCCTTCAATGACAATATATTTATTATAATGTATTCTGTACATAGAACTGTTAGACATTCACATATTTAAAATGAACTTTTATCATTAGCAAGATCATCTCCATTAATTTAAATAAAATTGGAATGTATATTGAACAGATATTTGTTATTCCACGTTAATTCTGGGTAGATGTTTGAATTTGAGTTGCAGTAATTCCATTGTCCATTACAAAGTAGAGTTGAGTGTAAATATTGTTTGTGAATGGATCACTTAGTGTGCCTTCCATAAACGTGTAAATGGGTACAGGTTAATAAGTGCACACAATGGGCTGCTTCATAGTTTTGCATATAACCTCATTTGTCTATCTCACATCGAAAGTGACTTTGTAAAAGCCCTCAGGAAATCATAAAGGGATTTAGACCATGATTTAAATGCCATATTGTATTGTTTGTGTGTTTATTTTTTAGTTTTGTTTTTTTTTGACTGAAACCCCCCCCCAAAAAAGAAACCTAATAAAATACTCCTGCAAATGTATCAATATTTATTAATTTGTACAAAGTATTTTCCAATTCTAAACTCCCATCAGAAATTACCACCACTTACTGTCACTACATTTTTTACTTATTATTCATTTCTGACCCCTTTCCCCCAACCTGCTTATAACGTTTAAGTAAAATTTTAAGTTTCATGTAATATTAATAATTAGTCAGTTCCTCTCCTGGAAGGTATATTGTATGTTGGACTGCAGGTGGGTTCTAAAGGGTTCTTGTTAAAATATCCAATAGAAGTACCTAGCAATTAAAAATTTAGATGACTTTTTACGATATTTAACATGTGACCTATAATGTCCCGATCAAATCGCTCAATGTCCCAGTAATGTACATCCTCATATTTGAACCAATAAATACTATCACTACATAATATCTAGCTTATTGTGAATGTATCTCCTATAGTTTCTATGTATCAGTATAGCACTGGTGTTGTCTCCATAGGATTTCATGTTTGCCTGGTGGTCAGTGGCTGGTCAAGGAGAGGATATGGAATGCATGTAAATTAGGTTCCAACTTGCTGAGTCTAATCATGGCTACCAGACATTGTGGAGCCAGGGCTCTGTGAGAGTCCAGATCAGTGAATAGCAAGTGACAAACAATGGCTTTGCTCTGAGGTAATACTAATTGATAACAATTCCATGTCACTAATCTCTGCCTTTGATGTATGTTTACAGGGGGCGGGGGTTTCTCCAATGGACCTGTATAAAGAAGCCATGGAGGTAGATTTTGAAGACACTCCTAACCCACAAGCTCCAGATATGCTGGACACAATGTTACAAGACGTGAAACCTTTCAGAGCGTTCCATTCAGTCTCCTGGCTTGCCCAAAGTAGCAACAATATGACCAACGCTGAACTCGGATTGTCCCAGCTGATTGGGGAATCTCACGCTTTACTCAACCCATTGACCACAGATTTGAGGACCTCTCCTTGCTCCAGAGACAGAAAGCCTCTTCAGGCCGAGGACACTGTACAACTTATTTACCCAGGAATTATCCGACCAGAAACTGTCTCACTTCCACAGAGTCCAAGGACTGCCTTTGGGTTACCTCTGAAAATGGACAACTCGATGCCAGGATCTTGTATAGAGGAAGGTCAGCAGTCTCCCTGCCTCAGCAGCACCCTGTCTCCTGCAGGGTCGTGGTGTAGTGAATTATCAATCTATGACTCCAAGGCTTCCCCATATTCAGTTGAACAACAGGTGACCTCGGTGGGTTCGTCTGAGTTACACAGCCCCGTGTTTGACCTTCAAAGCCACGCTATTGATGGTTTAAGTCCCATCTCACCAAGCAGTTCAGGTCCAGCCTCCCCATCTACAGATCTCCTGTGCAACATCCCTCAGCTGGAGCAGCCAGGCAAAAAGATCTCCTCAAGTCCTGGAAACGCTATTTCTGGTATGTACACGTTCATTTGTTGCATTTTCACAATTTATATGACTTGTATACATAGTCTAAAAAACGACAAACAAGTGTTACACTTTGACAACTATAAGTAGAGGGCAGACAATGTTGTACCTCCACCATAAAATATTTTTTGAATGTTCTCAAAGTGATAACTCTTTATATTTCCAGACTGATATTAAACATGTCCTTAGTATAACATAACTTGTTTAGAAGTTCAGCATTATGTTTATTTGGAGTAGATGAGCTAACAGTTGCTTTCCTTTCCTTGTGTTTATAGGTCGCAGGGGCAGTGAGGACTCTGGCTATGGCTGTGAGGCTGGCCAACAAACCTCATCAAATGAAGATACAGGCAAGATGACCCGCAGACTGAGGACAGCTTTTACATGTGAACAGATTGCTACTATGGAGAAAACCTTCAAAAAGGGGAAATATCTCACCCAATCCAGTAGAAGAAAACTGGCAAACAAGCTCCAGCTGTCTGAAAACCAGGTAAGATACTCTCTTCTGATGAATCTGGGGGGTTGGAGGCATTACAAGAAAATTAGATTTAACAGCAGGGCTATTTGCGGAATAGAGAATTGCTGGGAATTTCAAAGGTCGTAAAATGTTAGACCCAAGTAGGTGAACTTGAAAGGTCGGTTATGCTTCCAAGTTTGATTTAAAATTTATTTTGAATTCCCAACAACACACCTGAGTAATGCGTCCTGCTTGTTTCATTATAAAGATACAAAAGTCTAATGTTTAAGATTTACCTAATGAAGATGTAACAATCCATTGGTTTCTATGGTGAAAGCTGTAGGTTTAGAACTTTGCCCCAGAAATGCTTTTTATATATAACTCCCATCATTTGTGTCAATCCCCCTCCCCCCCATGGACTGTTAGGATCCAGTACACCAATTGCATGTTAAATACTATAATTATGAAAACAAAATTGAACTGAGAAATAACCAAATTTATTTATTTTTCCCATTAGATCAAAACCTGGTTTCAGAACCGCAGAATGAAACAGAAACGTGAAACTCAAGATGTCAGGCACAGCTCAATTTATGCTGCCAACCTGTTTGGCCTACCTGGTTACCATCTTCAACAGCCTGGACCTCTCTATGCCCAGCCTATACACAATGGACCTCAACCGATGGCCTACTCTCAGCCACAATTAAACTCTATGACCGGAACCTACCCCTACACCCTTCCTGCCTCAAACCCTTACAATCCATTAAATGCTACAGTCCGTCCAATGATGTATCCACCACAGCAACCTGCAATGTACCCTCCTGGATACCATGACGAGAGGTCATACCCAAAACTTCAACCCCATATGTACCCACCAGTGTACCATGGGGAGAGGCCATATTTTTAGATGTTTACACAGACTGAAAAAACATTCACGTAGACTCATTGTTTTTGAAAGAAAAATATTTGCACACAGTTTTTAATTTTAAAATTCAAATCTTTTTATATATAATATATATTTTTACTTTTTATTTTTCTCCATTTTTGGGGTTGTACCCTTGTTGTTTGATTTGTGTCTCACAACTTTGTCAGCCAGCAAAATGTTTGGGACAATGATTGTTATTCATATTGAATATTGTTAAGATTTCATCTTACATAAGGCTTTACTTTGTCTTCCTTAAGAGATAAAATCATTGAGTTGTTAATAAAATGATTTTAATCCGTAGTTCTGTTGTTGGAATCTTATTTTAGTTATTCTCCTGCCTTCTATACCACTTATATGGATTCAATTAAAAATGACAAATTCATATTACACTTAAGCACAATAGAATGTTTCATTGGCTGTCTGGTTCTATAAAGGTAAACACAATTAAATTATTTACTTTCTGGAATTCTTAGAGAAATTCAAACTCTAGGCCATAGCTGCAAAAATAAGTAAAAGAAAAATCCCTAGTTGGGTATGTTTTTAAATTCAGTTATTTTAGGCTAAAATTTTAAATAAATTTTGATTTCCCAGTAATTCATTCTTCCAATCAATAACCCAGAAATAAGCATATATAATGTGGAGTAACCATTTAACTATAAGGGGTTTCTACAGTTAAATAGTGAAGTAGCATTCTGTATTTAATGCAACCCTTTAACTTTCTTCCTTCTGCTATGAGTGCATTTTAAGGCAACATAGAGTTTTAAGAATGGATGGTATTTTTTTTATTTTACCCAATTCAGATTATTTAGGATTTGCGTCTCAAGGTTGGTTGTTTGTATTTTCATGCATGTATATTTTTCCAGTTTCCTATAATGCCCAGTGTAGTGTTTAAACCCTACAATGTTGCCTAGCTGCATCTATGGTTTTGGGACATAAGTAGTTATAGGCCTCTCTGAGAACCATAACCACTACTACAGTTTTTTTTTTTGACGAGATGGTACCTGCATGCCCTCTGCAGTGGTCCTTTTGGTTTGATGTCAAATCATTTAAGCAGTTTGATTGCGGTAGCGTTAGCAGTGTCCATTGTGTCCATGTTTTGGTGGCATCCATTGGCGGATCAGATTATATGCTCAACCAATGAACATTTAGCCATGTCAAATTTATAAAAAAAAAAAAAAAAATGTAAGTGTATCTTGAGCAAAAGGCCAAACGAGGGACTTGGCCACAGGAACCTGGAGGATTTCCAGTTTGTATGAAGCCGCTCCATTTAAAACAACTGGGGAATTACATCCTGCCACTATAACAACTACAGGGGCCTGCAGTGGGTGTGGGGCTTGGAGTGTCCTTTTAAATCTAATTTTGCATGATATACAAAATGTCTTGTACAAATAATAACCAAGTACACCCTGTAGAGATCGTGGTGTTCTAGCTACCTAGTTTTTCCCGTACATAATATACATCCTACCCTTACCTCTTGGGTCACTTTACCCCACTCCCTCTAGCATGCATGTGTGTTTTTGAGCAGAGCCATCAACACCACATATTACTGTGTGTCCAGCTTGTCTAGTTACAAATACTAGTCTGTTAGACCACCCATTGTACAGTGTTACAGAATTTGCCGGCACTTCATTATTTAACCACATTATGCACACTATTAAGGAAAAAAAAAAAAACTTAAAATGCTTGGTTGGTTAAATCCATTCTTGCATAAAATATACATTTTCAATTCGCATCTCTTAAAAATTAAAACCCATCAATAGCTTCTCAAGTTGTTGTGGATTTCCATTTCCCATAATACTTTGCCATACTTTGAAAGCATCATGGGAACAGAAGGTTCGACATCAGCTGTGCTAAGGACTGGTGTTGCATTATTTAACTCATTTCTGCTCTTATATTAATGGAAATCTTATTAGTACATATGACCTCTTATTGGTAAAATGTCAACTCTGGAATCTCATCCTTTTCCCCCCATGGGAATTAAGATAATTTACAAACGTATTGGGTAACTGTTCGATTTAATTTGAGTATTCTGGAAAAAGGTATTGGACACATCTTGAGCATTTTATTACATAGGACTGTATGTTAAGTAGTAGGACTGTGTGTGTGTGGGGGCTGGGGGAGGGTTGTTTTGCTAGAATTTGTTGTTGTGCCTTAGTCCTTCTACCTGTCTAAGCTAAGCAAAGTCCTTGCATTACACCATACTGCTCACAGTAGGACTCCGCAGCGACCCAACCCAGGTTTACAGAGTAGACTCTTTGTGTAGGTAGGGACAGAAAAGTTTGATTATAATTGAAATGACCACTTAAGGCTTCTATTATACTCTTAATATCTTGATTATCTTTAGCACTGAATGTGAGTGGGGGGTGACCTTCTACCTATGTTTTCCTTTGCATTTTTTTTTGCGCTCCCATTTGTCTTTCAGACTTTGTTGAATCCGTATCTGGTCTGAAGAGCGTTTCTCTAAATCCCCTACTCTAACTACTGAAATAGTGAGACTAGACTTAGGGCAATATATTTTTCAAAGGGCTTTTCCGACTCCATACACATAACATGATCAATGATAATAGTTATAAACAAATGCAGAGATAGAAAAAAACAAAAACCTCTGTTCTTTCAGTTTATCCTGTTATCATTGCTTCTTTGGGATTTCTTAAAAATAATAATAATACAAATTGCTGCATTGAAGTAGATTGAAAACCAAAGTGCAAATGTTGGCGAAAATAGCTCATTTGGAAAATGTATCCAAGTCTGCTATAATTGCAATTTAGCAATATTAACCAATATTTCACAATTCAGCTTCCAATCCATCTCAATTTGTATGTACTTAATATACCCCTTAACTTTTAAAGGAACTCTGCAAACACCATAACCACTACAATTCATCGTAGTGGTTATGGTGCCAGAAGTGTCATGGCACCGGCCCATTGTAAGGTGTCAAATCGTTTTCAAATGATTTTACTTCTTACGTGGGGTCCGTCAGGACTGATTCCAACTTTACTTTTCTGGTTTAAATGGTAATAGTGATTGCAGGTCCTTAATGGATTCATTTGTAGACAATGGAATATAAATAAAAATGTAAATTAATTGTAAATATAAACAGTCTTAATGAATGAATGAATGAATGTCTTCCTCCTAAACTCTGGTGTGAACTACAGTATTGGCTACCACTATGCAATAATTTTCCGTAGAGAACTCAAAGACTGTATAACAGAATGTTAGCACCATCACACCTCTACGATGGAGAGATGTACATGCATTTTAATGAACTCAGAATAAAATATGGTTTGCCATCATAGAGCCGCCTAATTTGAAGCATGAAGGGATATCCATGGGAGATGCATGACCTTAATCACTACTTCTGGGGTGGTAGGTCCCCAGATGTTGTGGAACTACAATTACCATGATGCTTTACCAAACTAGAGCAATGTGCAATCTGTGAATCTACCTCTTGAGTACTCCTGTCCTATGCTATATGCACCCTTACCTTACTCCTTACCCTCTAGACCCATCCCTACCACTTATAACTCTTATCCTGACCCAAACATGAACTCCATCAGATCATAGATAATGGTGAATCAGGAAACCTAATGTTATCTCAGGGTTTGTGAGACATCTTTGGTGTCATGGTTTAATATGATCTATTTAATATGATCTTATAGAACAATCAGAGTGTTATCCACTCAAGTTCACAAAGAATACAAAACACCTGGGATATCTAGCTTTGTTTGAGGTTATTTGTAAGTATTAACCATTGATAGTTTTTGGCTATCATAACTATATATTTTTTTATGGATCCTATCACAAAAGTAAAATAATTATTTAATGACAGTCAGGCTGCATGGAATTGCCAAACCCAGATTAAACTGGACATTTCATGATGAAAGCGATAGCAGCAAAGTGTAACATTGGGTTCTTGAGGTGTTATCAGGGACAACACAATCTTAAAGCAGTACAGACAGCCAACTTAGGGTGTACCAGCCTAGGGGGCACAGTGTCTGGGTATCCTCCTTACTGCATGTTACTCCTTCCTGTGATACTGAGTAGAGGATACGGAAGATTCTCAACTGTGGTCCATGCTATAAATGGAGGCAAGCAGACATGCCAGGATGGGAGAGGGTGATAAGAGATCACAAATGGGTAGGGGAGAGACATGAACAAGTGGCTGGGCAAGTGGAGAAAGAAAGATGCTGAGAAACTGGGGGAGGAAGAAAGACATGCAGAGGGATTTAGGGGGAGAGGAGACATGCAAAGGACTTGGAGAAGGGGAGAATGAGACACGCAGAGGAACTGGGAGAGGTAGGGGGGGAAAGAGTCACGCAGTGGGGCTTGGGAAGGGTAGAAAGAGATACAAAAAGGAGCTGAAGGGAGTAAAAGACACACAAAGATCCTTGCATTAAAAAAGATCCTTGCATGACACTCAGCCCTGGGCGTTCGCATTGCATTAATAACACACCAACATACTTTTGTGGTGGTTTATATAAAACATTATGGATACCGATTTTATTACTAAATATCATAAAAATATGGTTCTTGGTGTCTGATTAATGCAGCTGTAAAATTATTGTTTGCGTCATTTAAACACACACGACATTACATTTATAAATACAGTTGAGTGCATTAGTGTGAAACCCAATACGACTCTAATATGAATGACCTTCAGATAGATTTTACTAATTACATTTTTACTTTCACTTTGAAACATATCTATTCTTATTCTGAAAATCTATTTATTTTACTATTGAGAATTTATATATTGGTGAAGTCTGTTTCATAGGAAAATAATGCAATTTAGGAGTTCTGGACACATCTTAAGCTATGAAATCAACTTTATCTTACTCTCCCTTGCAACCCTCCAGAGCCAGAGCACATCAAAAGGGGAACTTGGAGAGAATGAACTGTAGGTCACATAGAGACATGATTACAGGAGAGACAAGATTCTATATAGAGAATATATGTTGGTACATTACCGCATATTATGAAAG